TTGATAAAATGCCCCTGTGAAGCCATCCATACCTGGGCTTTTGTTTGCTGGGAGTTTTTTGAGTACTGCTTCTATTTCATCAGTTATTACTAGCCTATTCAGGCTTTCTGATTCTTCCTGATTCAGTTTTGGGAGATTGTATTTTTCTAGGAATTTGTCCATTTCATCCAATTGTTGGCATATAGTTATTCATAGTATTTTCTTATAGTCCTTTGTATTTCTTTGGTGTCAGTTGTTATTTCACCACTTTCATTTCTGATTTTATTTATTTGGGTCCTCTCTCTTTGTTTCTTGATGAGTGTACTAATGGTTTATCAATCTTGTTTATCTTTTCAAAGAACCATCTCTTGGTTTCATTGGTATTTATTTTGTCTCTATGTCATTGATTTCTGCTCTAATCTTTATTATTTCCTTCCTTCTACTTACTCCAGGTTTTTCTTGTTGGTCTCTTTGTAATTCTTTAAGTTGTAGGGTTAAATAGTTATTACTTTTTCTTGTTTTTTGAGGCTTGTAGTGCTATGAACTTCCATCTCAGAACTACTTTTGCTGTGTCCCAGAGATTTGGAGTTGTTGTGTGTTCATTTCATTTGTTTCCAGGAAGTTTTTTCTTTCTTTCTTGATCTCATTGGTACCCCACTCATTGTTTAATAACATGCTATTTAGCCTCCATGTGTTTGAGTGTTTTTACGGTAGTTGATTTCTAATTTCATTCCATTGTGATCTGAGGAGCTGTTTGATATGATTTCAGTCTTCTTGGACTTGTGGAGAATTGTTTTGTGTCCTAACATGTGGTCTATCTTTGTGAATGACCCATGTGCACTTGAGAAGAATGTATATTCTGCTGCTTTGGGGTGACATGTTCTGTAAATGTCAATTAAATCCATCTGATCCAGTGTGTCATTTAGAGTCACTATTTCCTTGTTAAATTTTTTTTTTGGAAGATCTATCCAGTGAAGTCAGCAGGATGTTAAAAACTCCTACTATGACTGTATTGTTGTCAATCTCTCCCTTAAAGTCCTCTAGAAGATTTTTAAAAATATATTTATGTTCTCCTATATTGGGTGCATATATGTTTACCAGGGCTATATACTCTTGTTGAGTCAATCCCTTTAGTATTATGTGGTGACCTTTGTTGTCTCTTGTGATGGCCTTCATTTTGAAGTCTATTTTGTCAGACATGAGTATTGCTACTCCAACTTTTTTTCCATTTCTATTTGCATGGAAAATATTTTTCCACACCCACATTTTCATCACATGTGTCTTGTTCTGAAGAGGGTCTCTTGGAGACAGCATATGATTGAATAATGTTTTTGTATCAATTCAGCTACCCTATGTCTTTTGACTGGAGTATTTAATCCACTTACATTTAAGGTTTTTATTGATAGGTACTTGTTTATTGCCATTTTAATTCTGTGTACTTATGTTTCTCTCTTTGTCTATTTTTTCTTCTCATTATAGCAGTCCCTTTAGCATTTCTTGCAGTGCTAGTTTGGTGGTGATAATCTCCTTTTCCTTTTTTAAATTTTTTTTTGTCCTGGGAAGCCCTTTATTTCACCATCTATTTTGAATGATAGCCTTGCTGGATATAGTAATCTTGGTTTTAGATCCTGGTTTTTAACTACCTTGAAAGGCCATTCCCTCTGGCTTGTAGAGCTTCTGATGAGAAATCAACTTACAGGCTTATGGAAGCTCCTATGTAGGTAACAAATTGCTTTTCTCTTGCTGCCTTTAAGATTCTCTCTTTGTCTTTAATTTTTGGCATTTTAATTATGATGTGTCTGGGCGTGGGCCTGTTTGGGTTCTTCTTGCTTGGGACTCTCTGTGCCTTCTGCACTTATGTGACCTTTTCTTTCACCAGGTTAGGGAAGTTTTCTGCCATTATTTCTTCAAACATGTTCTCTATTCCTTGTTCACTTTCTTCTCCTTCTGGCATAACTATTATGTGAATCTTGTTACGGTTCAGGCTGTCTCACAACTCCCTTAACACATTGTGGACAGATCATGAGAATTCTTGCTTCATATTACACAGTGTTATACAAAGTATCATACTTTAAAAAGATATTAGCTTGTAAGAACATGTAATAAATAACTTAAAAAATGCAATGGGTATTTAATTTTAAAGCATGCCTTTAACATTTATGTAAAATGTTTTTTTGTACTCTTTCAATAGAAACTTAAACTGGCCACTGGATAAAGCTAGCAATAAAACTACTGTTCCGCAATGTGTTAAGCTGTCCTCCTGTTTTTAATTGTTTTTCTTTTTGGTTATCTGATTGAGTGATTTTTTTCTATCCTATCTTCTAATTCACTGATCTAATCCTCAGCTTCCCCTAATCTGCTGTCTAATCCTCCAGTGTGTTCTTTATTAGTGTTAGGTCATTTTTTATTTCCAACCAGTCTTTCATAGTTGCTATATCTTTTCTCATGCTGTTGAGCTTCTTTGACATCATTATTCTAAACTCTACATCTGATAAATTTCTTATCTCCATTTTGTTTAGCTCTTCTTCTGGAGAATTCTTTTGTTCTTTTATTTGTTTTTGTGTGTTTTTTTTCTTCCCATTTTGGCTGCCTGTTTGCCTTTCTATCTATGTATTAGGCAAATCTGCTGTTACTCCCAATCTCTAGTGCAGGACAATGTCAAATGTTGTTTCTGACTGGCCCTGAGTCCCCTGTTTGGAGCTATCAATAATCCACAATTTGTGCTCCCTCTGCTGGGTCTAGGTGCCTTTGGAAAGGACCAAGTTGTGCACCAGGGTCTGCTTTTCCTAGCCCCAGCTCCAGAAGGAGATCAGGCAAAGACTTAAAGCCTCCAGAGATCCTCCTCTGCCTGTAGTCTGATTTTTATCAGCTTTGATTTGCGTCAGGGTATTGACCACAGGGTGGGGTGAGAGATTTTCCAAGAGGGTGTGGCAACTGCCCTTTTCCCAGGAACAACCACCTGGATAGCAAAGGTCTGCCAGAGAAAGATGTCTTCACAGTATGAGGGAATGACTCAGCTTAGGAAACCGGGTTGGCTTCCCTCTGAGCTCCAAACCCAGAGCCTCCAACCCTGGAATTTCCTCGCTCAGCTCCAGTCCACTCTGCCCTCCCTCTGTCAGAGCCCAAGGTGAGTGGCTGCACACGAAATTTTGTGTATTGGCCCTTTTAGAGGGTGCCCGCATTTCCAGTAGTCTCTCCCTGGCAGATAGCAGCCCTCCTGCTTTTCTCAGCCAGATGTTATGTGGGCACCATTCTCAGTTCTGGTGCTCTGGGTGGGGAACCCAGCTTGGTGTTTAGACCCCAGAGTCCTCAGTAGGAATCCGCCACAGCTGAGATATCCCTCTGGCACTTCAGCTGCTGTTTGTGGAAGCCAGGCCAGCCCTTTTGTGCCTCTGAACTTCCTAACAGTCTCAATGCAGTCTCCACTTTCTTTCTTGGTTATCTCTCAACTAGTCCTCAGTTGATTTTTCAGGGTGGTTCTTCTGTATTTTAGTTGTATTTCCTGGGAGAGTGTCAGTGTAGTTCCCACTTACTCTACTGCCATTTTTAATCACCTCTCTAGCTGTGGCTTGTTTAAGAGATTTTAGCAAAGTCTGTCACAGTTGCTAATTAAAAAAAATATGATATAGTTTATATACCATTCAATTAACCGTTTAAAGCAGGGGTGGGGAACATCTGGCCCATGGGCCTTATAAGGCCCACAGAATCTTTTGGTCTAGCCCTGCCAAGGAATTAGGGGTGAGTTAATTAAATGTTTGACCAAATATAGCAGGCTAAATTTTAAGTTGATAATTTTGTGTGGCCTGTGAAGGATATTATAAATATCCATATGGCCCTTGGCAGAAAAAGGTTCCCCACCCCTGGTAAATTGTGCAATTATTTACCATGTTGTAAAAACATCACCATACTCTTAATTTTTGTACATTTTATAACCACTAAATGAAACCCACCACTTATTAGCAGTCAGTCTCCACTGCTTCCACCCCCAGTCCTAGTCAACAGCTAATTGACTTTCTCTCCCTATGGATTTATCTTTTTTGTCAATATTTCATATAAATGAAATTGCACAATATGGGGCATTTTGTACCTGTCTTCTTTCACTTGGCATAATGTTTTCAAGGTTCATCCATGTTGTAGCATTTATTGATACTTCTTTCCTTTTTATGGCTGAATAATATTTTTTTATGAATATATTTTGTTTATCAATTCCCCTCTCAATTGATAGATATTTGGATTGATTGTATCATTTGGCTATTATCAATAATGCTGCTATAAATATTTGTGTACAAATTTTTGAGTGGACATATGTTTTCAGTTCTCTTGAGTTTAAATACCTGGGAGTAATTTCATTTGTATACATTTTAAAATTAGGTTGTTTGTTTTCTTATTACAGAGTTTTGATGTCTATAAAGTTTTAAAGGTTGATACAGTGTGTGTATCTCTTAAATCATGAAACTCCAGAGTAGTTCTTTGTAGATTAAATGAATGGCATATAAAAGCTTGATTATCCAATGTCTTTCAAGAATAATATTATTAAATCAACTTAAAGAACCAATTTGTATTCATCTGAATTGTTTAAAATATATAAAATTAGCTCTTTAAGTTATTTTTATTTTATCTTAAAAGTTTCTTCAGATGCTACTTCTAGATTCACTTAGTCACTCATTGTGTACATATTTATTGGTATTGCCTTTGTGTCATGCATCATACTAGGGTATTGAAATAAAACATATGGGGAATAACATAAAATTATGAGTTCTAAAAATGTAGTCATAATTATTTTGTGATATGGATGTGATTTTTGTTGAGTTATGCCTCTCTCCCTCTTCTTCCTCTCACAATTCACATTATCCCTCCATTATGGGTTATTCAAGACACACATGAATAAATCCCCCAATTCCGTTAGATGCTTGAAGAAATTGAGGTCCTTTGAAGCTGTCTGCTGATTTTCTCTTTAGTGTGTCATAATGAGGCCTGTCACACTGTAAGTAATGGAGACTTGCCCATCTTGTTCCTTGCAGCATTGCTGACAGACAGAATGCCTTGGAGGCTGAGCTGAGGGCAGTGCAGGCCTCTCGCAAGGACCTAGAGAATTTCCTAAAGTGGCTACAAGAAGCAGAAACCACAGTGAATGTCCTTGCAGATGCCTCTCAGCGGGAGAATGCTCTTCAGGATACTGTCTTGGCCAAGGAGCTCACACAGCAGATGCAGGCAAGTGCCCAGAAAAATGTGACCAGTGCTTGTTTACCATTAAGATTTATTACCATTCAGAAGTGAGGTTGTCACCTTATTCTGTTATGGCATCCATGCTCGCCTGTGAATAATTGGTTTTTGAAATAAGATCTGTAAAATACACTTACTTAATAATTTGGGAAAACACTTTGTTTTATGGAAGTAATAATTGTTTATTTAGACTTCTAGACTCATAGCTATTCTGTTTTCTATCATTTCAAGCCCTATTACAGTTAGCCTTATTGAATCTTACATTATAAAAACATTTCCTCTTAATATGAGTTATTTCATTCTCTATTTATTATAAATACCTAATATAAAAGCTGTAAAGGCTCTATGGCTCAGTTTACAACTAAGAACACTGGGCTTGAAGGTATTACTTTTATGTCTTTGGCTTGATAAATATGATATATTCAGTCTCAGGTTCAAGTTTTCCTTCTACACAAAATGTGGTAATACAAAATCTTTCCTTTAAAAAAGTTTATGAGGGATCTTTTGAAGCACATCTGCATCCCTTTTCTATCCTCAAATACAAGTGAATCAGTGTCCTTGAACTCCCATTTTCTTTGTGTAGAATAACTTATTCTTGTCAATCGCAGGCCATCTCACCTAGAACTTGCTTAAAAATCTGCTTTGATGGAGAAGTCTCCTTGCTATTTTATATTTTAACCTGGTGGCAATGAGGAGAAGTCATTAGAGGATATTAAGCAATAGAGTGATGCAATGGGATTTGCATTTTATAGGAATCTAGCTGAGGAGGAATGGGCCTGAACTGGGCAAGACTGAGCAGAGCAGTCTGTTAGGATATCTTGTAGCCAACTGCTCAGAGGTGATAATGACCAGGAATAGGCAATAGCAGGGGGCATGCACCTAATGACTTGCTAGTAAGGGTCCACTAAGGGAAGGGGAAGAGGTAGAGACACAGAAGCTTGCCAGGTGGTAGTAGAGCCTGCAATTAGGAATGCAGGAAATAAAATGTCAGGGCAGCAGTGCAAGGTGACGGGATGGGACATTTCATTTAGACTGTGGTGAAGTGAGGCATTTGTGTACCATCCAGGAGGAGATGCCTGGTATGCAGTTGTCACTATGGATCTGCATTCAGATGAGAGACTTTGGCCAAAGACTCAGAGAAACTTTTTGTTGTTGTTTTTGAATGAATGTCTATTACTGACTTCCTACTTTATTAATTCAAATGCATTTATTCATGATTTTCATGCCCACATTCTAACACATTATCATTTTAATTATTTTTTTAAAATGTGAGCTTTACCTTTTACCAGTACCAATGAGCCTAGCTGCTCTGATTCTCTCCTGGGTAAAACCATGCTGCCTTGCTACTTTTCTGGGTGGTGTTATAACAGGTGGCTGGTTTTGTTCTCTAACAATATGTGTTTGGAATTATTATTTTTCATCTCTGTATTCTCTTTCAGCCTAATTTTCATCCTCTTGTTTGATAGGTTCAGACTTTGATCAAATCTTCCCCTGTACCCAGCTCCATACCCAGCATAGTGTTTTGGGGGAGATATATATACCTGTACTGTGGAAACTTCCCCTGTTGGGTTATGGGCAGAAATTACAACTTCATATTTTTTTATAATAGTTTTGTTGACATATAATTCATATTCCATACATTTGTCCATTTAAATTTGATTGTTTTTAGTGTACTCATAATTATGCAATCAGCATTGCAATCAAATTAGAACATTTTCATCACCTCTGAGAGGGACCCTATACCCCTTAGCTATCAGTCTCCCATTTGCAGCTTCCTAATCCCCCAGCCCTAAATAATCAATAATCTAATTTCTGTTTATATATCTTTGCTTAATAACTTAGTATTTTTAACTGGCTGCTATCATCAACTGACTACTTCTCTTCCGATTTTGCCTTTGTGTAGCTATTTTGATATTGCTAGCCTATCCAGAAGGAGGCAGTATAGGTTCTCAGTATAGACATACATGGGAAAACACAATACACAAGCAGAAGCCTACCGAAACACTGCTTGATAAACACAACTCTCTCTGACCAGTAAGGGACTTTAAATCAGGCTAAAATCAAGGACAGAGAAGGCAAAAGAAGTAAAACATACTTTAAATATTGTGTTTCCTTTAAAAAATCATGATAATAGAGAAAGAGGAAAAGGAAACATTTCCTGCGTTGTTAGTTTGAGCAGGACACTGATAATGAGAAACGTCTGGGTCCTATTTTTGGCTGTGCCCTTTGACTCAGTCATTTAATCATTCTGGGTTATTTTTGCTGATTTCCTAAAAGTGCTCTCCCCCACTGGATACTTATAGTGGTCTTTGAGCTGCAATTTGAGAAAATGCATCTCAAGTTGTACACATGCCTATGAAAGTCAGAAATTCTGTACTTGGTTTTTACATCATATAATCATGTCTTCTATTTCTTACTCATTAAACTGAAACAGCTTTATGACATGAAGTGAGATCATGAAGATGCTGTCTATCAGGAAGTGTGGTCATTTGGAATGTTCAGTGGTCAGTTACAGACTTTTATGTTTTATTAACTTTGCTGTTAAATTAGAGAAGTCCTAACCTAACATTAGAATTGGATTTTGAATGGCTTTCGTCCTAGGTAGCATCTGCGACTCTGCTTTTAGGTAAAGCCACAGACCCCCCTGCAGGTATTTTTGTTTTGTTTTGTTTTAGATGATCTTGTTCTGAGACCTGTCTCGAGGTGATTTATTAGCACTTAACGGAGAGGCTGATATCATTAGAGTTAGGTACCTTCTGCTCTTCTCAAGATTTATAACAGAGTCTATTCACTCATCGCACAGAGCACGGCCAGAGCTGCGTCTAGTCCGGTGGTGAATGCATCCCTCTTTACAGTGAGAGAGTGAATGCTACTTGATCTCTTAATACAAACCCGCTAGGAGGCATGCACCGCGGTGGTGATGTGTTGAATCTCTGTTCCCAGGGGGTGTCTGCCTCGTATCTGCAGCTTTAATGTTTCACTTAATATCCTTTTTGGCTACTGAGCGCGCTCCTCTCCAGCAGCAGGCAGCGTTTGGCTGCTCAACTTGCTACGTTTCCTGGCCATGCCCGGCTGAGCAAGTACTGGCTGGGAGCATCTGCTGGGGGGCTTTCTGGGTGCCGTCTGCATACGTTTTTTAAATTGAGAAGAAGTTGAAGGCATAGCAGCCTCCTTTTGCCAAGAACCTGAGCGCCTGTTATCTTTCAAATGCATTCCTGGAAACGAGCATGCTCAGAGAACTGGCAAATCATTGTCCAGTGACCAGGAGGAAATGATCATTGCTCTTCATTTATAATGCAAATTCTGAGGTGCCTCCAGAAGTGTGGTAAACTTAAAATGATGGCTGTGGTGAGAACGTCTCTGCAGAAAGTTGTGGTTTTGTTACATCGGTTACAAAGGATGGCAGTTTCTTCTCCTCGGTATCAGAAGCTCTGTAAGGTAACTGGTGATTGAAAATAATTCTGACAATTCTACTGCTTCTCAGGCTCTCAAAACTAATCTTTCAGGGTTCTCACCCAGGAGAGGTTCCTTTCCTTAGGGACTGTAAAAGCTGCTAAAGTGATATGCTAATTAAATTTTGTTTAAGAATCAGGAACCAGTAGTGTTTCGTGATTATTTTATTTTGGGGCTGACAAAATCTTCTGAGTAGGCTAGTGAACTGTTTGAAGAAAATACAGCAAAACTACATTTATCAAGACCTGTTACCTCTGTGATACTTTGCAGTGTCTTAATATTGAGTAGCACGTTAGCCTTATGGAAATTTCGGTAAATTTAAAAGAAGAGTTTAGAATAATCTTTCAGTAGGTTACTTAAAAACTGTGCATCTCTTTATAGCTAATTGTGTTTTTTTTTAATTTGAAAAATTAAAGCACATCTTCAAAACTATTAGACTTACTCTCATCATACTGTATCCCCTATATTCATGAGTCTTCCTGTATTACAGTTTCACTTAAGGAACTTAATTTTATTTGGACAGGTAGATTAAGTACACTTGCAGGAGGCAACTTGTTTGACAGTTGCAAATTTCAAATACCACGTCATCCTAAACATAAACCATTGAGTGAGTGCCTGTATTTTTTAAAGTTAGCTATTATATTTTTGATCATAGTTTTATTTAAACTATGTTCACACTATCTCATTACTTTTGTTAAAAATTGGAGCGATTTGATATGAAGGGAAGGAATTATAACAGGAATGTTAAAGCAATTTATATAGTACAATGTAAATTGTGCAATGCTCTGCCTTCACCTCATGTTCTTAGTGCCATTTCCAAGAACGTAGCTTATTGTCCCCTTAGCTGCCCAAACTCATTTGTAATTGGAACAACTGTCTCTAGGACAATAGTATGTTCATGATGATATAAAATTTGACAGGTCCAAGCACCTGAATTGTGCATATTATGTAGCAGCAGCCTGGGGGTGGGAGAGGAAGGCAGTATTCTATTAACTTTATCACATCATATTTTTTATTTCTTATAGTTTGGTCAATTAAATGTGTTTCTGTCTGAAAACATTTTCTTTGAAAAGTTTTAGGAAACAGATTAAGGTAGTAGGGTATGCGCAGAAATTTGTAGAAGTGTTTCATTTGCATAAGAAGTTAATTAAAAGTTAATACAACTTAATAAATAATTAATTGTAAAAATTTGTAAATGAATGCTTTCATTGTCTTGTCTTTTGGTCCACTTCAGGGAATAAATTATTCTGGTAAAACATTTGGTTGGGTATTATATGAGCAAGTAGTTTTGATAATAGAGAAGTGAGGCTCATTCACTAATGCATTATGTTTTATCTTTTTAACTTCAAATGTGAATGTGTAAAGCATCCATTTTCTATTAGTTGGGTCATTTTTCTGATTCATTTGTATGCATACTTTCACAGAATCAGGTAATTTTCCAAGTCATGTGACCCAAAATATTTAGTCTGATGTATGAAGCAGTAGAAGTTCAAATACTGGACAAAGTTGTTTAATTAGTTTCATAATCATACCCC